AGCAAAAGGAGGGTTTTTTTAAAGTAAACATGATATCACCAATGAAAATAAACCATAGTTCAATACAAAACAATATAGAAATATATAGTTCAACAAAAATATATGAAGATTAATACTTTAAAAATATTTTTTTAATTTTGAGAAAAAAAGAACCATACATAAATACAAATGAATGTTTAAACATGAGCAGAGTCTGTTTATTTTGAAATCATAATCATAATCCTTTTCTATAAATCTCACCATATTTCTTATTCCAAGAAAATTAAATTGTTGTTTCATTTTATACCAGTAATTGATATCACGAAATGGATTGAGCAGATAGTCCCATATCTCATTGTAAGTGAGGTATCTATGTTGTTAAATCCCTATACATCAATCTTGTACGTTAATATCCGCTGCGTAATAAGTCTCGCATCTCGGAAAGTGAATGTCCTGCATGACAATCCTGGAATTCTTCTTTGGAAACCGTAATAGATTTAGATTTATCCCAAAACTTACTTTATTACTGGCTAGATTGCATTATTCTAAACTTAGATGTCTTTAATCCGACTGCACGATTTCTGGTTAAGATGCCTGCATCTGACGGCATGTGTTGCAGGAACGTGTGCAATGGGTCATCCGTAGGCCAGACCAGGTGGTGCATTTGCGCCGGGATTGGCGATTACTTTGGGTCATTAAGTTGCAATGTATATGCGCTTAATGAAAAAACTCATCAGGCTGGCACGGTCATCATCATGTCGTTGACCCTTCAAGTTTTGTTGGCTGTGCACATGATGTTTTTCGAGGTCAGAAAAGCAAAGGCTGATCAGGCAGTATTGCTGCATCTACTGTTGTAGATTGCTTGCAGTTAAACTCTAATCTAGTGGAGTTTTACTTTGACGTGTCCTATATCTTCGTCCTTGTTTACTGGTTGGTCTGGGAGTTGGTATTTGCTTGTATTATTGCCAGATAGATTATTATGGATGACAACTATTACCAGGTCAAAATTAAAGGGAAAGAAGTAAGTGGAGAAACAAGTGCATACTGTTTATGTACACTTGATCTGCATTCCTGCCTCTCATTCACAAATAAATTTCCAAAAACTGATAGTTTTATCCCTTATCACAACAGTACTGCAATTTTTTATGTATTACCTTTTTTCAATATAATTTTTACAGGACAAAGAAACAAAATTTCCAGTAAAAAATATTTTAAAATTAATTTGTTGAGAATACTTTCAAATTAAGCAGTACTAGGTGATTGTTGCTATTCATTTAAATATTTATTTAATTAAAAAAAAATATGTGAAACATTTTTTTTCTTTGGAAATATCACTGTACTGTAAATTTTAAGTTTACCTTGTCTCGGAAATGACTTGCCATACAAAGTAGTTTTTTGCTGCTGTGTTAGTTTTGACTAAAATAGATATTCTGAGAAAATATTAGCCTGGGGGACGACTGCTTCATTTGACCCCCAGTTATTTTGATTAATTATTATACTGTAGTGTATAGGCTTATGTTTTTGGGGTTTTTTGTAGTTCATTCAAAGAAAGGTTAGACTATGAAGGAATGATGATAAAAAAAATTCTCATACTGTAGATGCAGATTTAATTAATAATTATACTTCATTAATCAGTAATAAATTTCTTTGTTGATTGATATAGAATGTAGAGAGTAATAAAATCAAATAATCATAGAAAGGTGTTCCAATAATCATTAAGTGGATTAACGATATTGCCACCGCGTAATGACATATTATAATTATAATGTGTTATTCTGTAAACATCAAACTTGCTCATAAATGTTGCAATGAAATACTGGTTCTGCATTCAATTTCACTTCAGTGTATCTGAATACGATATTTGCAAGTGTCTGTTCCTAACAAAAATTATTAAATAACAGAATCTTTTGGCTGTGCTCATAACTTTTTTGATTGCAATGCTTGTCTCATCAGCCCTCTCTCTTAGCGCTCTACATTTTTTTTTGTGTATCAGAATGGCTGGCATCAATTTTATCATATACTTTAAATTTTATTGTAAATTTATTATTTTTAAGAAAACAATGATTCTGCTAAACAAGTTCATTAACATTATTTACAAGTGGTCTATTTAAATACCTTGCCCTACTATACTTTATCTACTAAACTTTGCTTTAAGACTTGTTTACACAAAGTAAACAATGTCTGTAAATTAGAAAATTAATAAACACAATTTTTTACTTAATGTCACACTGTTACATTTGAAATGTAAGTGAAAAATAAAAGCTCTAAATAATTTTTGAATTACTTACTTTGTGTAGTTTTTCTTTGCAATTAGCAAACATAAAAAAATTACCAATCCTAGTTCTTTGTGTATACCCTTAGATTTAACAGATGACAGGCATTTTCAAGATTTTTTGTAGTAAAATGTCAGTAAATCAGTGAAAAATGAATTGTTTTGATTCCTCTCATTCAAAGTTGATTAACTTATTTGATTTAATTTAAATTTGCTACTTGTATTTGAATGTTAATGAGTTTTTCAGGTTTTAACATAGGCCTACAGTGTTATCTCTAAAAGCTATGCATATGTGGTTGATTGTAAAATGTGTCTGCATGTAGCAGGTGCAAGATATTGCGGGTTTATATGCATGTCTTACTTTTCTGCTATAACATTTCATAGGATGTCAATCATCCTACATTATTATTTTCCAAATCATTTTTTTGGGTGGGTTTTTTTCTCTCTTTTTTAACATGTGACAATGTTTATGGTGACAAATCCCGCTAGCCAATAGCAATCGTGTGTGACATTACCTACCTCTGCAGTGACCTCAGTTTATGTAACCTAATTCTGATTTTTTTGGTGAAGCTAACAGTAGGCCTAGCCCTTCAAAAAAATGTTGGATAATGCCTGATGTTAGCATAAATAAATGAAAAATAGCCTTGGTTGTCACATATGACAACTGTATTAGAATTGCCTGGGCTGTCAAACCTATACCATGTCAAAGCCAGGGGCTGTAGCCTACTTTGTATAAGGCTGAAATATAACTTGAACCACATATCAACACAGCAAACTAGGGTATGTGAGCCTGGCCGGGTTCCCAAAGAAGCTAACCATACCCGTCTCATAAATTTAGAATGATAACTTTTTATTCAAGAGACCATTGCTCTTTTATTTAAAGAATAACATTAGCAAAATTTGTTACTGTACTAGTGTTGAAAAAGCAATTCTTTCTTTCATTGCAAATAATTATATTTACAGTAAATATTGTTTTAATGAATATTGACAATTATGAAATCAATCTTTTAATTTCCATCATATGCATTTTGCTTTATATTATGATTGGATTTTATTCTGGGAGAAAATTTCTTTTGATAGAGCAACTACTGTATTTTTAGCAATAGAAAATATCTTTACATTTAGGAAAAAAATTACTTGCTTTGTTGATAAATAGAAAGAATATATTACCGTATTTAAAAAATTTTTCATTTGAACATATTTTCCCATTTCATTGGTAGCACTAGCTACATCATGCAATATGTATTAGCCCTACAGTACATAAGGTTTTGTAAAACTAATGGTTATTGCATGAAGTTTGTGAATGCATTTGGACTCCACATTCAACCAATCAGGTACTTTGAAATTTACAGATGCTATTCTGTGGATGGGTGTGGTCAAACTAGCTGTTAAATAAGCACTGTTTAGCTAGGAAAGGTGTGATGGCTTTAATCTTAGTCCAAATTTGACTAAAATACTTACTTTTATTTCCCAATTTTTCTTTAAAATATTTGTTAATATGTGATAAGTAGATAGGATGTTTTTTTAATTGGCACAGTATATTATTAGTTTACTAACTTAAGTAGCTCTCATTACAAAATTCATTGCTTGTTTTTTAAAAAAAGAAGTACATATGGAATAATAAATTTTATTAATAATAAGTAAAACGTTTTGATCTAAAAATTAATATAAAGCGATTTTTATTAGTTGGTTATTTCAAACCATATCTTTCTTTTTCTGTACAACTTATTTAATACATATTTTCTGGTCTCCTGTGAGATAAATATTTTAAACTTAAATACAGAATAGAAATAGAAAAACAAAACAAAACGAACCAATTACCAAATTTAAGTTATAACAATGTTATTCTTAAATGGATTTACATTCATCACTTTATAATTCTAATGTAGACATATATTTGAACTGGAAAGTTGTACCTTTGAGAACTGGAGTTGTTGAATATTACTGTGATTAATTTTGTGTAATTTGTATAATGTATGTTTATTTTTTTAATTTCATAATTTTAAATATATATATATAGTTATAATTTAATTAAATTGAAAAATAAATATGTTTACAAGTGAGAGAATCAAAAAAGGGAGAAAAACCTGACATAGAAACTAGAATAGAAAAACAAATTTTTAAATAACCCATCATTTATATCAAAGAGTAAAATGTGCTACTTCTTAAAGAATGAAATAAAAATTATTATTTTCTAATGCAATGCATGTTTTAATTATGTTGGCTTATTTTATGTATATTTGGTTGTTTTCTTAAGTATTAATTGTATATTTTTTATTGTGAGGCTTAGTGTGATTGAAACACCTGGAATATAATTAAAAGTTTTTTCTCCTAATAATGGTACTTGAATATCAATATCAATTAATCATACATTGATGCCTCAATTATGAATACTTTTGATTTTATTGAATGTTAAAGTCTGGTTATTAAAAAGAGTATGGATAAGGCAACTGGAAGGTTTAAGGTTTTCTCCTGTCAATTCAAAAAATAGATGGCAAATATCAATCAGTCCCCTACCATAGGAAGTATTAAAGCAACAAGCAGATGGTGATGTTAATGATCTTGAATTATGCTAAAAACCAAATATCCATGCAGCCAGTTAGAATCTCTAGAAAGCAGTTCACTAGCTGCATGTCCGCAATTGTTGTGGAGGTTTTATTGACCAGGCAAGCTGAAGAACAACACGGAATGGCATGTGTTTTCCCTTAAGAACGTAATCGGAGAATACTGCTTGCTGTAAGAAGACATGCAATTAGGTCAGTTTTCTAGGTTAATGTATGCATTTGGGCTAATATGATAAGAGGAGCCTTTTGCGAGTGCGTAGAAGTCTAGACTCTTGTGGACTGTTGGATGAGTTCAGAAAAGAATGATGGCGGCTTCTGTAGTGTAGACTTTGTTGAATTCTGCTGCTGGTTCTGGTGCTGTTGCCACGGCAGTCAATCGAACGGATAAATGAGTGGTCATCATATGCATAAGCTGTGATACGCTTCGTCATCGGACTCCAATGTTTGTGGATTCTTTATGCGATTTTGGATGTTTGGGAAGGCCAGGTCGGTGAACTTAAATCATTTGTAAAAGATTTCACTCTCAGTTGAACATTCTTTATAGGGTCAAAACTTATGTATGTATGCGTATGTTTGTACATGTTTTTGTGTGAAGTGAAGTGTGTTTTCTTTAATTAATTATGTAGTGAAGTGCATTTCTAGTGCAATGTTTTAATTTGACTTGTATTCAGAATGATTTAAATTATGTTTAATGTATTTTATGGAATAGTCAATGATTTTAAATATATTTTATTTAAATTTGCTGCAGTTTATGTATATTAAGTAAAAGCTTCTAGAGTTGATATAATATATATAGTTTTCAACAGAAGTATGTTTGATAATTATTTGAGGTACTATATAATTTGAAAGTAATTAAGTATATTTTATTTTATCCTCATTTTAAAGAGAATAATTCTAATAGTAGTATAAATTTTTTTATAGTTCCCTCAAGCTAAAATATCATATATTTCCAATGTAATAATAAAGCCTATATTTTTATGATCTATAAAAATGTACTCTTAACAATTTTTTTTACCCGAAGTAAATTTTGTTGCATGATAATTTTTTAGTATAGTATAGGAGTATTTTCATGAAAAAGTTTTTAGTTAAATAAAAATGAGTATTTAAGTGAGCTTAACTAATAATAGTGAAGCTCAGAAAATTATAATGATGAGAATGATCAAAGAGATAACATACCACTTGCATTAGTTCAGATTTAGGGACAATTTTAAGAATACTTTTTCTTTTCTTTTCTTTTTTTTTTTGGTTTCCTGAATAAGATTTATGGTTAAGTAACTTTTCTTTTCGTGGCTCTGTAGTCAATGTCACACATTTTCTATCTTTAATAAGATAAGAACAGGAATCTAAAACCTTTAAAATTGATCTATGCTTTCCTAAATTGTGTCTTGCAAGGATAAACTGTTACGTGTTTATGCTGAACACAAAAGCTAGATCTATCTCAGTCTGTGAAAGCACCAAACAATTTAAAAACAAGGACATTTTAACAATTTAATGGCTGTCTATAAAAAAAATATTTCTTAATAATCACAGCGTTCCAAGAAAATACATAGTGTACAGGTACATGTAGGTTAATAATGCTTCCATGGCAACCGATTATATGTCAAAATTGACTATAATATAGTTATTATAACCTGTATTGATAATTTTTTCCCATACGTAATTTCTAATAATAATCTGATTTTACTCACAAAGTAGACAGGATAACGATTGCTCTATTTTTGTTGTATCCAAAATTGTTGTGGCCTTACAAAAGTATCAGATTTATATTCTATTTTGATTATAATTTTGTATGTACCTAAAATAAAGTGCAAATAAATACAATTATAATCAATGTATATTAATACTTGTAGTAAACCACTTAGATAGTTCTGAAAAGAACTGTTGCTGGTAGAAAAGTTTTGAAAAGAACTGTTGTTTTCAGAACTATCCACATGGTGTACCACAGGCATTACTATATATTATATTTGCATGCAAACCTTCAAACAATATTAAGTATAATCAAGTTGTATTTATATCAAGCCGAAGCGTATAGGGCTGAAAGAAGGCCGAGCCACTCATTTTGTACGTAAAGAAACGTATAGTGCTATTACATGTGAGGGGACATGACGGCATCTTGCACAGTTTATGTTCCAGGATGTACCTAGCAACCATACTATTGATAATGCAAAAGCTTCAACACAAAGTTGTAATGTGCATATTTCTGTTTTTGTACGAGGTTCACTTCTATATTCACGTCAGTCATGTTGCAGTATGTGTACTTCAATGCTGTAAGTGCATGTATTTTCAAGCAGATTTGGTCGCTTCTCTTTCTATACCTTTTGATATGGCTGTTCTTGCTATATATGTGCTTTACATTAACAAAAAATTGTATATGCTAAAAAAAATGGCATGTCTGAAATTTTAAATTATCTAAGATCACAAAATAGCCTAAATTAACTAGTGTTTTAAAGAACACAGAATAAATACGATTGTGGCTGTTTGGGAGCATATTAAATGTGTAAGGCAATACTAAACAGTGGCGTATCTACAGGAATGCGTGGGGGTACACATCGCTTCACAAAATGATTGAGCTTCTGGTGCTCCCGCCCCCAACTCTAGGTTTGCAAAGAATTATGCTCAGGTACAGTAGTTAAAAGTTACCTCATATCATCTTTTGCCAACTAATGCCCCTTATGTAATTATTAAGATTTTCCCCCTTATCGTTGTATTTTCCTCCCATTATCCCCTCCCCTATGTCAATATTCTTAGTTACACCACAGATACTAGAGCTTATGATCCTACAACTAAGTGTGTTAAATAACTATGCATAAAATTATATGTATATTATTATATATTTGTTTTCACATAATTTTATGTACAACAATATAAAATATATGCTATTAAATAACATCAGAATATATCATAATATGTTTGATGGATATGGTTAGGGCTGCTCTTAATGCCACTTAAAAACAAGGAATGGTATGCAATATCCTGCTATATATTAGCCTCGTCATTATTCATAAAAGTTTATTACTCAATATTTCTCAGCTGGAATTTGGCTCTTATTATTCACAAATTTTTATTGCCCACCATACTCCATGGTGCACAAATTAGATGACGCGACCTTGGATAAAGTTGTAGCATAGTAGTTGTAGCCAAGGAGGTCTAACTTCAGTTGTGTTGGACTTTAAGCCCAATTTCCTGTCTTTCTAGGCTACTCTATTTTTATGTTTTTTAGATTCCCAGGGAGACTAGAGATGACTTTAATATATTAAGGGTTTTTTGTTTGTTCTTGGTAGATGACAACAAAATCAGGTTTTTCTTTTTTAAACTGTCATTAAGTAAATTTTATGTTGGCCTATTACCAAATTTTTTTCTCATCAAATTTAGGAAAGAAAAATTATCGAAAATTTCTTTAAAAGGTAATTTAGCTCAAGGCTATATACAACTTATCTTGATAATTAATCCTTTACATTTCTGCAAAGAAACTAAATGCATTGTTTAATTTTGGAAAGTCTTTGATTTTTAAAAAGCACATTAACATGTTCAAATTTACTATCGATACTTAATATTATCAAAAGTAATCAGTTTTACTTAAAACGGTTCTCATTTTTCCAGGTCATCGTCATAAATTCTTTCATGTCAAACTCAGATTTCAAGATGATGTATAGGATAATATTGAATGCTTTAGCTTTGCCAGCAAAATAACGATTGAATTGAATTGGAACGACAGATTCTTTGCGCTAATTAGCCTAAAGGTATCATCTCTACAACATCATATTTTCCTGTTCAATTCACAGCTTTAAATATCCATATCTCGCACTTTTTTAGTTGCGCTTGTTTTTGTCCAAACGCCTTAGTAGTAGAACATTATATCCATTTCTTCCTTTCCATATACAGTCATTTCTAGCCAATATTCTTCTCTATTAGTATTTATTAAGTGCGTTATTAAGTATCTCAATCCAATAGATAGGTCGATGTAGAAACCATTATTGTAGATACTGAATCAAAGCTCTGCATAACAAATTAAAGGGAAAATTTCCTTAAAATCATTGAAATATATAGATTCATCTGTAAAAAAAATTTAGAAAGCATTTTTTAAAAAATATTTCTGACAAAAGGTCTTTTTAAAATTTAATATCATTATTAAGACTCCTGGATCTTGAACAAATTTTTTATCATTGTTCAAATACTTATTTTTTACTTAAGCTCTAGGCACACTATTAAATTTTCTTGGGCAAAAAAATGTTGTATGCTGATATATAGTCATGATGTGCCTATATATGGTCATGATATGATGTCATCATGACCTTATTTATTCATGATCATTTTTTTGTCAAATAAGCCTTGAGAGTCTGGGCAGAGCTTTAGTTTGAGTTACCACAAATTTTGACAGATTGGTATTTAGAATTTGCTATTTTCTCGTCTTTAATTTGTTTGCATGTTTATTTCATTTGTTTATAAAAAAAAAAATAGATCACATTGTTTTCCAGTGTTGTTTAATACCCGAGATTCATGCCCTAGGCTAGTATTATTAACATTTTTTTTAGAACATTATGCTGAGTTATGGTGTTATTACTGTTCTTTAGTTATTAGTTACCCATTTCCCATTTCCTCACATAAGTATGTAATATAATTGCTTCTATTTATATATATATAGAATTAATTCAATTTAAATTTGGAACATATATTATGATACATTTGTTGACTAGTAGTCTGTTTTCTTTAGTTATTAGTTACACATGGCCCATTTTATCTCATAAATAAGTATATAATTTCTTCTATTTATATTAGAGTACCACAGTCGTGTCGTCACAACGCCATATGGCGCCCTCTACTGCCAACCAGATGTTGGTTACCGTTCATTACGCCTGAATGACTTCAAAGGCTTTCTGGAATAGGCATTTTAAAATCTAATATTTTACAATCAAAATGTACTAAAAACACAAAAGCTCGCATTATATTAGTTATCGAACACACATTTAATCATCAATTAAAATTTACAAAAAAAAAACCTAAGATACAACATCTTAATAATTACGTTAGAAATTGGGATCAGTGGTTTGTCAGTAGAGAAAATGGCGTCCGGTTGAACGCATTTTGCAACGATAGCAAAGAAGTAGTATCACGTGGTATCGTGACGTAACACTGTAGTACTCTATAGAATAAATTCAATTTTAATTCTGGAACATATTACCATAAATACTGAATTTAAGCAGGGGAACATTTTCCTGATACACAGTATTCAAATTATTGTCATGGCGACAAAAATGTGTGAAGCTTACAGAGATTATATTTTACTCCACTTTAAGTATAAAGTGAACATTTTATATGATTAATTTTATAACAGATAATAACAGGTACTGAGTGGTTATCGTCACATCTGGCATCTCACTTTTCATACTGTTTTCGTAAAATGATATCATTTTGCTTTCTATATCAATATCTATTTTATATCCATGGTATATATTTGGATATATATATATGTTCTATCTTGAGGATGC